ATGATAGCATTAGATTAACCACCTATGAGCTGGTCTGTCTTTGGGCAAAGTACGTATATTTTATGAACTCATTTACAGTGTCCATAAACGGCAATGCTGTTACCAGGCTTTGCCTTCAGAGTCTCCCAGTTACTGAGCCAGCATTTAAGGAACGAGTATGTCAAGAACAGTAGGTTAACTAAGGTGGTAAATGACCTTAAGATCCCAATGACTTAGCAAAGTAAACATTTATTTTATGTTCACATCCCTGTGCAGTGTGACCTGTTCAATGAAGTCGAACAGTGATAAAAACCATGTCTATCCTATAGCTTCATTTCATTTAGCTTCTCGGGATTTTTTTTCTGAGAATTTTGGATGGCTCCGCAATTTGCTCTGGGAAATGGGGCATCAGCAAACATCATGCAAGCAGAGGCCTGACAAGTACTTGGTTTCTTGCTGCTCTGGGAGCCTGCACCATGTATGATTTCCTGCTAGAGTGGGAGAGGCCATGGGGGTGAAGCAAAGCACTACAGCTTACCACCAGCCATCCAGCCTGACCCAACAGCTGACTGCAGATGCATGAACTGCCCAGCGAATCCCGGAATAAATGGCTGTCCTGAAGAACCCTGGCATAGTCATGATTTTAAGTCAAATTTGGGGCTATGTGTGTGTTTTCTTGCTTTTTTTTGTTTGTTTGTTTTTATAGCAAAAGAAATGATGCACTGAGAATATATATGATGGAAGATTAGCAAAATACTGGGGCTTGCAGAAGCTGGTTGTGATGCTAACAGGTTCATTTTATTACTCTGTGCTCTTTGTATGTATTTGAAAGTTTCTGTAATAACAAAGTTAGAAAGAAAATATTAAATTTCAATATTGCTTTGAAGAATTCCTAGTTAAATTCATTTGTTTTTATTTTCTTTCAATGTTTAAGAATTGCCATTCTATTATATTTAACTTTAAAAAATTATTTAAAATACTTTATGGTTTCAAAATGAAAAATATAAGATATTCAAAAGTGTCCCACCCTCATGTCTGTCCTCTCTCACATTTGTCCTCCCTCTCCATAGTTATCCTCTCATCTTAATTATTAACTGAATATTTTGGTAGATATTTCAGAGAGTTGTTAGTGAACTTGGAGTTAAATTAGCAATTTACATGTAGAAAACTAGGCAAATGAGAAAATATGACAATTTTAAATCTCAAGGAAAACTAAATTTTGTTCAGAAAAGAAAAAGTGGTCACATTATAATATGTAGTTAATCAATGAATAGCATTTACAATGTCATATCACCAAAAAGAGTAATCATTGATCTAACTAAAATTATTACACAACTATATTGGATGGATGAAGGAATAGAAAGTTGTTTTTATTTGGAGAATGGTGAGGATAAAAAGGGCTAAGTTCCATTTTCCAAGTGGCAAATAAATAGATAACTTGTAAAAGAAAAAAAAATCAAAAGTAACAGTATAGACATGCTCTTTAGAGATATACTAGTCAATACTAGAAAAAATGAACTAAGAATGAAAAGTTATTTCTGTGCAGAAAGGAAGTTGGAGCTACTGGTTTTTTATAACAAGGCTTGTGGTTTATGATGAGAATTGAAAAAGAAAGTTCAGGTATACAAAACGTGTGTCAGTCCTGTTTCATGTTGCTAATGTAGACATACCTGAGACCGGGCAGTTTACCAAAGCAAGAGGTTTAATTGGACTCACAGTTCTACATGGCTGGGGAGGTCTCACAATCATGGCAGAAGGCAAGGAGGAGCAAGTCACATCTTAAGTGGAGGACGGCAGGCAAAGAAAAGAGAGCTTGTGCAGAGGAATTCTCCCTTTTTAAAGCCATCGGATCTCATGAGACTCATTCACTATCATGAGAACAGTTCAGGAAAGCTCCAGCCCCATAATTCAATCACCTCCCACCAGGTTCCTCCCACAACACGTGGGAATTGTAGGAGTTACAATTCAAGATGAAATTTGAGTGGGGACACAGCCAAACTGTATCAAAAGCTCATAAAAATATATATATATAAATAAAAATAAAAAAAAAAGGAGAGGCAACAAGTCATGAAATACTACTACCATTACTAATAAAGGCTCATTAATCACGCACTTTCTATGAGCCATATATGGATTATGTCTTTGAATTCCTACTAGAACAGTATGAGGAAGGCTCTTTTCAGAGTTACTATACTCTGATAAGACAATTTATGCTTTGAGAGTTGATTAGCTACCTATTGTAATGAATCATTCAAAAACAGCACCTGGGCCTGGTGCAGTAGCTCATGCCTGTAATCCCAGCTCTTTGGGAGGCCGATCACGAGGGCGGATCATGAGGTCAAGAGATCGAGACTGTCCTGGCCAACATAGTGAAACCTCGTCTCTACTAAAAAAAATACAAAAATTAGCTGGGCATGGTGGTGCGTGCCTGTAGTCCCAGTTACTCAGGAGGCTGAGGCAGGAGAATTGCTTGAACCTGGGAGGCGGAGGTTGCAGTGAGCTGAGATTGTGACACTGCACTCCAGCCTGGTGCCTGGTGACAGAGCAAGACTGTCTCAACAAAAACCAAAAACAAAAACAAAAACAAAACAAAACAAAAAAACAGCACCTGGAAACAACAGACATTGTTATCTCATAGTTTCTCTGGGTCTGTAAGCAGCTTAGCTGGGTGGCTCTGGCTCAATCTCTCATGCAGCCTCAATGAAGACGTCCACAGGGATGCTTTCGTTTTAAGGTTTGATGTGGGGATCTGCTTTGGTGTTCATTCACAGGGCATGCTGCAGAAACTTCCAGGCTCACTCCAGTGGGCCTCTTGCAGGGCCTGCCTTGTGACATGGGAATTGGCTCCTACCACAGCGAGTGATCTAAGAGCACCCAAGACCTAATCTTGGAAATGATATCGACCACACTATTATATTCTGCTTGAGCAAGCCAGCAAATCCAGCCCACTTGGAGGGAGGACATGAATTTATCAGCAGAACATAAATCCCAGGAAGTGTCTGTCCATCACGGGAATCACCTTAGAGACTGCCTGGCACAGGGGGAGTAGCTTGTCCACGTTTCCACAGGGAGTAAGTGGTAGCCCCGCCGGGCAAAACCAGCCATTCTGATCCCAGGTTTATGTTCTTAATCACCATGGAACCGCTCACATGCTGAGGGGGCTGTTTTGCTTTTGTGGGACAACAGCAGCTCTTTCCACATGGCTGTCATCCTGGGAAGATGGGAGTAGTTGGGAGGCCAGCACAGATAAGAACTGATTTTCACCTTTGTGACAAACACCCAAGGGTATTATCAGGTCCAGGCAAACAAAAATAATCCATGCATTATGCTCACAATGTGGGGCACATGCTGTGACACTCCCACATACCTCCTGCTGCAGAAAGTGTGCAGGAGCGCAAGAGAGAATGCCATGAGGACAAGGATAACCTTGAGATCACTCTAATTTATAACAAGTCAGACCCTCTCCGGCTTCATAACTTTCCTGGTAATGAATTATTTGAGGCATCCCTCACATTTGATCATGACAAACTGCAGCTTCCTCTTCCTGGGATGGGGCATTAGTCACAAGGGGTAAGAGCTGGCTCAGGTGAGGAGTTTGTACTATATATTGAAAGCTGTTGGGAGCCACTGAAATGTTTAAAGCATCACAGGGTGACATGATTGGAGATGGGCCTGCTGTGCTGAGCTACAGCATTTTGTCTGAAGCATCAGATACCATTCTATATTCTCATGTATGAGACAGCAGATGTCTCTTTTGTACCCCAACACATTTATTCATGTTAGCTTAATAAAATGTACATATTTCCCAAACCTGCAGATTGGTCAAAGCTCCCTGTCTCAGGACACCTGAACCTGCCTGTATCTGAGCATGCAGACATTTGTGGCTGCCAACCAAGCTGTGGGCTTTTTGGGGTAGAGATTGACTGCCTCCTCCATGGTTTCAACCTCTGGTGGCAACCACATCTGTTGACATGTACTAGGAACTCAGTAAATGCTTGTTAAGTCAAAATAAACTGAACTTCACTGTGCACTTACTATGAGTTATGTACTCTACTGAGTCCTGGGTACATAAAAATAAGGCAGTCCCTTTTAACATTATTAGTAATAAGCCACATTGTATGTGAACAGTTTTTTTTTTTTTTTTTAATTCATGAGTCAAACATTTGCTCAGCCCCTGCTGTGATTGTCATACTCTGCTAGATGCTGGGGCATGACATGAAATGACACATGACCACTGCTCTTACAGGTTCTGTAACCCATTGAAAGAGAATAGTATATGGATGATCCAAGCTCAGTATACAGTGAGAGCAAGGATCATCCAGAATAGCATATGGATGATCCAAGCTCAGTATACAGTGAGAGCAAGGATCATCCAGAATGGCATATGGATGATCCAAGCTCAGTATACAGTGAGAGCAAGGAGGAAGGTCCTAGAGATATGCAACTCGGAGGGCCATGTAAGAGGTGAGGGGCCACATTTTGAGAGGCGTTACCTCTGCACTGATTTTAAAAGAGTGAATGAAGTAAAATACACGGAAAATAAGACTGGGCCTGGTGGATCATGCCTATAATCCCAGCAGCCTGGGAGACTGAGGCAGGAGGATCGTTTGAGGCCAGGAGTTTGAGACCAGCCTGGACAACAGAGTGAGAGAGGCCCTGCCTTTACAAAAAATAAAATTAAAAAATTAGCCAGGGTGCTGGCTCACACTGTATTCCCAGCTTTTCCAGAGGCTGAGGTGGGAGATCACTTGAGCCTGGGAGTTTGAGGCTGTGCAATGTGCCATGAGCTGTGACAGTGCCACTGAAGTCACAAAAGAGAGAGAGAGAGAGATGAATGGAAAATCTGAGTGTCAAACATCAGTACCAGGGCACTGGTGTGTTAAGGCTTGAGGAATGAGTCGAGGATATCAAACAAGGGAAATGAATACACATAAAGTAAATCTAAGGAGGAGTTACTGATTCCTGCAAAGCGGTATGCAGCGCCAAACAAACTTTCCTCTCCGCTGCCTTTGTCTTTTCAGCCATCTACGAGCAATCCTGTGAGGTGTACAGGCACCAGGGGAACACAGCTGGCTTCTTCTACATTGACTCGGATGGCAGCGGGCCACTGGGACCTCTGCAGGTGTACTGCAATATCACTGGTAAGGGTGCAGGATCCGCACTCACACTTAACCACCCCACTTCGTGGGGTGAAGCAAAAACAAATTCACTGGAGGGGGATACCTATGTGAATAAAAATTTAAAAGACCAACTGGTCTCCTTTGGGGAGGAAATAGTATTCTGGTGAGTAATGCAAATTTGCAGCTAGGTTAATTTTCAGGAGAGAGAAAAAAGAAAACTTGTTAATGGTCTTGATAATGTTTCACTGAAGCAAGAATTAATTATCAAAGGTTTTCTTTAGGGGCTGCCAGGGGCATTTTCTCTCTTAAAACTCAAAAACAGAAAGAAAAGGTAAGCAAGCAAACAAACAAACAAAATTCAAAATCAATGGGAAGCCCTGATTCAGGAAGTTAAAAAGCTTGATTCTAGTCTGGCCAGAGAAATATGTGACCCCTAGGTGAATACTGTAGTCTCTCTGAGCTTCCTCAGTGAAATGGGAATAATAGTGCCTACTCCTAGAGCAGTGAGGATTCAATGCAATCATGTGTATTGGAGCAGCTAGCCAGGCTGGTTATTCTTAAATGCCTAACCCAAAAAGAAAAAGACAAACAACAACAACAACAACAACAAAAACAACAACAACAACAACAAAAAAAAACCAAGGTGAGCTTTTTCATTTTTCTCTGGAAATCTCTTGATAGCTTACAGCTTTTTTCTCAAATGCAGAAGGACATGGTAAGAGGCAATCATTACATGGGCGTAGAAACAGCATATGATCCTTAATTTACCATGAAATATATTTCCACAAAACCAAACCTTTAGGTAACCATTATTCTAAAATCCGGCTATGTGGCCGGGTGCGGAGGCTCATGCCTGTAATTGCAGCACTTTGGGAGGGTGAGGAGGGTGGATCATGAGGTCAGGAGATCAAGACCATCCTGGCCTACATCGTGAAACCCTGTCTCTACTAAAAATACAAAAATTAACTGAGTGTGGCGGTGCGAGCCTGTAATCCCAGCTACTCTGGAGACTGAGTCACAAGAATTCCTTGACTCCAGGAGGCAGAGGTTGCAGTGAGCTGAGATCGTGCCACTGCACTCCTGCCTGGTTACAGAGCGAGACTCCATCTCAAAAAAAAAAAAAAAAAAAAAAGAACTTTTGCAAGCACTCTTACCATTGTGAGAGTGGTTAATTGGCACATACACATTTTTTTTGTTTGTTTGTTTGTTTCAAGCACTGGTCTTCAGAGACGCCAGCTGCATCATGTAATGAAGCAGGAACACAGCAGCCTCTTTAGCCTCATTGAGTCCTTGGGCCTCAGGCGTTTCTACAACGAAGAACCGCATTTATGGAGTGCTTTCTGGAGCCAGATGCTGTTTTCAACACAGAGGATATGAGAAATAAGACACAGAGGCTATTGTTCATGAGGCACTAAGTCAGGAACACTACCATGAGGTGCCTCCAGCAGAAATGCAGGAAAACTCTCGAAAGGAATAGTGAGGAAGCCCAGTAGTTTGCCCACCTGGATGCAAAGCCCCATGTTCTTTGTATAGAAAATGCTAGTGACCTGGAATTAGGTGCCACGTCCTTGCATTTCCATAATGCTTCATCTTTCCAAAATGGTTGTATGATAGCTGCTTTTCAAACGCCCTATAACATAATTTAAAAGTTCCTGTTTTCTTTTCACGGTTGTGGTAATCTGTAGTGTTCAACAACTTGGTCAAGGATTAGGCTTCTCAGTGGATCTTGGTTATTTTCAAAATGTAATTAACATAGGGACTCCTGCTAAAAAGGCAGGCTTCCCAGCCCCGGAAATTCCAGTTCAGTAAATGCACTTTCACTGAGCTTTTCAAGTGATTCTCATGCAAATCGTCCCTAGTCCACTTTTCCAAAAACAGAGAAAGTAATTTGGCTGCAAAATAAGGCAAAAGAGATAAATGCCCACTGCTGAGTGGCCAGGTGTGACTTGTAATAATAGGAGTGGTGTAATGGACAGCAATTACTGTGCGTTGACCCTCTCTGGGAATTGAGCTGGGAGTTTACAAATACCATCTCTTTTCATCCTCACAACAAAAACCAGAGGCAGACTCTTTTTAATCTCCATCTAACATAGAAGGAAAGAGAATATGAGCATTTCATGATTGGCTCAAGGTAATAAATTCTGTGACTAATAGTCAAGACTTGGGAAGCAGGCAGAACCTCCTGGTTATCTGTATCACTAAAATGTTAATTGGACACTTTGTATTACACATGTTTTGCTTTTAAACAGTGCTTTTTTTGTTGTTGTTCGTTTTTTTAGAAAAAATTTGTAACAAAAGTAATCAATGTTAATTGAAGAAATTTTGAGGGGAAAAAAAGTCTGACGGAAATATTAAAAACACCTGTAATCCACAATCCAGAGATTGCCATTGTTATTAAATTATTAGAATTTCCTCGAGACATTTTAAAATGAATGTTTATGTGTTCTGAATGTGTATGTTATATATATGTATACATACACATACAAATATATACACATTTAAATTATACATTTTAATTTTAACTTATGGTGTAGATTTTCCCTATTAAAATATATTTTGAAATTAAAATATATTCATTAAATATAGCTAAATGTTAAACTCTACAAAATAATGTAAGGACAAGGACATAGAAAGCCTGATTGACACATAGGTTTCATTTACATGAAACCCTCTGCCTCACCATCCAACAGCCTTCTCTCAGGGTTTATGTTTGATCATTTGTCCAAGCACCGCTGAAGGTGGGTGTATATTTGTATTAAAGGTTTCTGTTTTGCTGATGTGATCCTGAAGAAATCAGAGCCTCTGAATTGTGTCCAGTGTTGATCAATTTGACGTCTATGGTGGGACATTTCTTTTGAATATGATTTTTTTGGGTAACATTCAGCTACAAAATGGATAAGTTTCTATTTTTGTTTTCTAAAATGCTAACAAAAATAAAAGTAGGCTGGGCATGGTGGTTCACACCTGTAATCTCAACACTTTGGAAGGTCAAGGCAGGAGGACCGCTTTAGCAGGAGTTTGAGACCAGCCTGGCCAACATGGTGACACCCCATCTCTACTAAAAATACAAAAATTTGCCAGGCATGATGGCACATGCCTGTAGTCCCAGATACTTGGGAGGCTGAGGCAGGAGAATCGCAGGATTCCAGGAGGCAGAGGTTGCAGTGAGCGGAGATTGTGCCACTGCACTCCAGCCTGGACAACAGAGTCTCACTCTGTCTCAAATAAATAAATAAAAATAAAATAAAAGCAAAGCTCTGTGTAGGTTGAACTACACTACTCTCATATTTAAATGGCAAACAATGTTCTGATACATACATGTAATGATGATCAAATATGCTTCTTTCTATTTGAAAATTTTAAAAGTTGAATGTTGTTAAATAGGAGTGATTTAGGTCGCTATGAAAAGTGTGACACAGTGGTCCTAGGAAGAGAATCAGGAAGAAAGAAGAGAAGAAACAGAAGAGGAAAGTTGTGCTGTCTTTAGCACTGGGATAATCCCAGAACGGGTGTCCAGAGTGCCAGAAGGCAGGAAACCCAGGCTCTCTTTCTGCACCCTGTGCCTGTCAGCTCAGCTAAGTGCCTGGGGCCCAGGCCCACATATCTAAAATTAAAATCTGGGTCCTCTGGCGTCCACAGCCTTTCCTCATTTAGAATTCTCTGAGCTATTCTTTGAGGTTCCCAAACAAGAGATTTTT